TTCAAGAGATGGAGGCTATTCGATGCTGGACAATGTAATATAGGTTGTAAGGTTTATTACAATCGGAGAGTCATTATTTTTAATTGCTGAATTTGTCTGTTGCTAAGTTCTAAAAAGGTCTGGGAGATTTTGCCTTTACTTTCTTGGTTTGATCAGTCGCTGAAAGTGATATAGATAGTGGAGTTGAATTCACTGAATATTTATTTCATGTATTTGGATTATTTTGCCTTGCAATGGATATAGTTCAGTAATTTGATTGAATTATTTATGTTCTTTTCAGTTGTTTAATTTGTTATGTTCCAGGAACATGCCATCGTGGCTCAGGACCACAGAGGATGTTGTATTGCATCTGCAACCTGTCAGACATGATTATAGGCTTGGAAGAATACTCCACACGCACATTACATTCTAATGATTGGCCTTAGTATCGAGCAGATTCGAGATACTCTAAATTTCCCGAAATATGCTGTGTGCTGGAGCTCGAAGTGTTAGCTTTGGCGACGACACCATTAGTTGTCAGAAATTTCCTTGCTTGCAATACTTACTGTGAGTTATGAAAGTATACCGGCGTTGCATTTAATGGTGAGGATGTGATTTAAGGTGTATATATATAGGGACCAATTCTTCATGCTAAACTTTTATTTCATCTTTCCCAATACCTATGTAGATGCAGTCAATGGGCAATCAAGATTCAAGAATAGATTGCGACTAACTCCCAAGGGTATGACACCGTGGTAAAGTAGGAGGGTTCTTTACGGAGTATCGGAGGTTTGAATCATCGCGACAGTTGGAAGACAACATTTATATTGGAAGGTAGATGTCCTGCGGAGACAAAGTTATTGTGCGCTTTGTTTCCGTACAACGTACATGAAGGTCCACAGGTAGAAGAACAGCGTTTCGAATGCTCGGCCCAAGAATGTATAAGCTGTGATCGCATTCGAATTTACTCGGGTGACGAACCGGGGAAAGGCCGCCACTCCTCCGAATTAGTAGGAGCGAAAATCGGACACCCGAGTAACAAAAAATGAAACAAAAGAATAGATTGCGACTTTTGTTACAATTGGGACAGGTTACCTAAGGTCAGGTATGAATTGTTCAATTAATGTCATAATTTGCATTATGTGGCTAAAAACTGGTCTCAATTACTTTGGAAGCTGGGGTGTGCTTGAGTCCTTCAAAATTGGAATACTCTTGATGGGATTAAGCCGTTTGAACAGCGCCAACCCTGTTCATCTAGTAAAACCCTTCTTGATGTAATTTTCAGCATGTATATAAACTTGTGCTGACTGTTAAGTAGTTGTACTAATTATCACCTTTGAGGGACAGAACTAAGTCAGGTTTCAACATATTCACACGGTGTCATGTGCCCTTTAAAGTTACAGAATTACTACCGTTCTGTGTTTTAGACCCCCAACACAGTGGAAATAAGCAATTAAAAACAACAAGTCACTTTTTAATTGTTTCTAGATGATTAAGTCAAACAAGTCATTTTATTATATGTTTGAATATCATAGTTCATAAATCGTAGAAAGTAAATAACACCAATATGATCAAGGAGTAAACCCTTCGCAAAGGATAAAAAACTCCAAGCATCTTGCCAGTCAATAATCCACTATAAACGAAAAGATTTACAATATGATCCAAACCTGATTAATCCTCAGTCCCCTCTGACTTTCTTCTTGTAATCACATTGGTCCTCTTAGACTGCGTGCTCTCATACCAACTCTCAACTGCTGGTATCGTTTATCACCTTTGGACCTCCAAGAGCAAACCTCATTCTTCAGCGTTGGAACTCGAAGCGCATCTTCCCAAAACTCTATCATCTCTGAAGGCTAATTGGCAAAGGTAGATTTGATGTTTGATAAATGATCTTTCTTTGTTTTGATCTTGTAGGTCAATACAAGAGATATTGGAATATATATATATATTTTTTTGCTTTTAAAGAACAAACTCTTGACTTACAACAAGGCTTAACTAATTGGATCAATATATGGGTTGAATAATGAACAAATAATATTGTGGTTGAATCAAGGAATCAATGAAATGGTGTTTGGATCTTCAAAGAATGACCTTATAATCAAAATATTGTTTTACTTTTGGACGCCCTATAGGGTGTATATTTATAACGAGTAGTGTTGGGGATGAAAAGAAACTCAAAATCAGCTTGAAAATCGAATATTGCTGTTTCTCGGATAACCACACCTCTCGAGCGCAAGGCCAGCGCTAGCCGAGCAACAATTGAGCAGTCATCAGTATTTTTATCATAACGTTTCTTCCGCTATCGGATTGAGATGATTCAAAGTGCATTGGAAAGATAACTCAAAATGCTACAATTCTTCCGAATATCCTTGTCCAATTTCCAATGTTTTCTATGTAAAAAATGTGTCGCAACTTGTGACTGATAATTTGGAGCATAATTTGTACAACAATTTTACACTTCTTTGACTTCTAATTGTAACCCAATGATCATATGTGATTTTCTTGGACATTTTGGATTCCGTCAAGACTTATACTACCAATTCCAATTCCAATTCCAACTCTACTATAATTAGGATTCAATAACTTCTATTTTGATTTTGATTACCATATGATAAACTCCTAATTCAATTCAAACAGGACATGCTTTCGACTAAAAAAATGTCAATTACAAATTTACAAATGGCCAATTATATAATTTGGACTTGACATACCATACTATTAGTAGTGGCAATCGAGCCGAGCCAGCTCGTTGCCACCGAGCCACGAGCAACTCGGGCTTGTCAAAAGACGAGCCCGAGCGGTATGGCTAGCTAGGGCTCGGCTCTTTTTTCACGAGCGGCTAGTGGCCTCGAGCCCACGAGCCTCGTGAAAAAAAAAACACTAAAAGAATTAAAAAAAAAAAAGCTAAAAAAAAATAAAAATTTGACAAGCCACGAGCCGAGCCGGCTTGGCTCGTGAGCTCGTGGCTCGTTTCTCCACGAGCCGAGCCGAGCTCAGCTCGTGGCTTTAAGCCGGCTTGGCCCATTGACATCTCTACATACTATGTTCGTTATCCTTTTAAATTATATTTTTATTTTAAGTGTTGGCATGCTTCACGGGGGATATATAATTGCCATATGTTTATTGAACTGGGGATCATATTTTTATCATGTAGTACTAGGTAATATATTTTAAAAGGTTGATGATACGGTCCATTTTTTTTTTCCATGCTTAGTTTAGGTGATGAGACTGCTCAGGCCGGGCCTTCATATATTTAATAGTGCAAGCAGGTATTTCTATATTTTGGGTTTAATCTGTTAGTTCTGTTGACTACCTTGGTTGGAGGCATGATAATGGATGTTGAAGCTCGTTTGGGCTGCTCTGATGTATATTTGAATGTTTTTCTGCTGATTCAAGAGTTAGGAGGAAGGAGAAAGTGAAGAAGACACGTATTTATCTTGCAATTGACTTCCCTAATTTTATTATTAACATGTTTTTATGTGTCAAGTGGTTCACCGTTTCTTGTTGGGATTGGTTTTGACCTGACCGATGGTTAGATTAGAAAAAGAGTATACGAACAAATCACCCTTTGGACAAATTCATATATTCCAAACCCATGCGTCTACCTGCTCTGAAATATTCAAACATATATACAGGAAGCATCACGCCGTTCCTTGAAAATCTACTGCAACGACTTCTAGAACCCCTGTTTATTTAAACAGTGATGAAGTAATTTTGTGGTATCTTCGCTTCAGTTTAATCAATTTGAAGCATCAGATGTCTTTCTCTGCAGAAACCTAAAATCAGTGCTGGATATATGGAGATATAGCCAATGAGTCGGTTCTACAGTCGGTCAAGAGTACAATAAAAAACCAGAAGATCAACAAAGAAAGGAACAGCTCTACAGTGAAAATGAAAGGTTTCCATGATTTTCCTCGTGATTTGATCATCGAAATACTCTCAAGACTTCCTGCTAAGGTTCTCTGCAAGTTCAAGTGCGTCTCAAAACGATGGTACAATTTATTAACTGACAAGGAATTGATCACGCGTCACGCTGCATTGTCTAAGCGAAAACCTCTGTTACTGACCAGGAAATATATTTCGGATGCAAATAGGGAAATGAATAGAAGCAAAGTCACTATTCAATTGACCTCTATAGACATGGAGGGAAATGTAACAGATGAATTCAGGGAAGTACTTGATGGACACGTTCACACTTTCATTTATTGCTATCCATTCAGTATTATATGCTGCATGTACTCTATTTATGTTTGCAATCCTAGTATTCGTCAAGTTGTTCGTGTCCCCTATCCTTCTAATGCTCGTCTATATAACGTAGGATTTGGACACCTTCCTAAGTCGAACGAGTACAAAATCTTGCATTTGTTGTACCATTCCTTCGTTGGAGACGGAAAAATTGGGTGTGAAATCTTTAGTTTTAAACATGGTGAGGGAGTTGACTCTGGCTCTTGGAGAACACTAGGAGATTATCCTTGTAGGGCCTGGATTGATGGTCACCCGCTCTGTGTGAATAAATCTATTTACTGGGGACTGGTAGCTACTTCTTGGAATGACAAGTCTATTCTCTCGTTCGACTTGGAGAACGAAGAATTTAGCGTTATTTCCTATCCCGTATGCGATTCCGAAAAGTACAGCAGCTTGGTATATACAAGGGTTATGGGGTGTTTATGTCTTGTGGGGTGTTCAGCACGAACATCAACCTTGGATATATGGTTGCTGAAGGATGTAAAGAAGAAGAGTTGGGTAATGGAATATAGTATTAGTCTCTTTCCCTCTAGTGTCAAGTTTTTGGGTCCTTGTGATAATCAATGTGAAGAAATATTGATCCATGTGGAGCAAAGAGGGCTCATTTGTTATAATGTCAAGAGTCAAACTTACAGAGGGATTGAATACAGCAGAGCCATGGAAAATTTCAACAAGCCATATCTTTACTATGATAGCCTTATTCCTCTACGCTCTGGGACACGTCGATTTGAATAGCATTGGATAATATTAAAAAAGAAAATAAAGCTAAGATTTTCTTTGTTATATTGTCAAGTACGGTATGTCGAACACGTCCAAAGAGTGATCGCCTAGTATTTTTTTTTTTGCATTTCAATTTAGAAGAAAGGGTCCCTGTAATTTTTCTCCGCTAATGGTATAAACTGTATTTTTTTTTCACAAGCTTTTATTAGTTTTTTTATTTTCTTTTTCCCCTTTTTTGGCAATTTTCTGACTTGTCTATTTTGATCTTTTATCTTATGTATGCAAAACACTTTGTTTAATATAAGACAGCAGAAAATTGTGGACATGTTAGTCATTGTATATTGTAATTAGATAGATAATGCTTCAATAAAAATTTAGAGTTCCATACAATTTTATGCTATGAATGAAGAGATTTTTGGACTTCATTAATAAATATCACACTGCATTTCCATATACAAATTATATAGGTTCACAGAAGAGTAAATGGGATTACAACTGCTGCTAGAAGGCTAGTATCACTATATTATTACACTATCATAATAAAACATTTACGGTATAAGCTATGTTCAGAATATATACTCTACTACTGATTTTGCTTTCCTTTCCCACCTCCTCAGAGCTCGAAATATGGTTGGTACATACCACTCCAGCTTCAATAAGCACAACTCAGACTTCGTCTTATCACTCTCAGTTGCTTGTTTGTTTTCTGATCCTTGGTTTGTGTCTGCGCCTTCATTCCTTCTTTCTCAAAATACCATGTCCAAAGAATGCAGAAGCATAAGAACGGATAATCGAAGTGCAAGTCTATATATGATCATATCCATGTGTCACTCTATATTAGTTAAGCATAAAAGGAATGTTTAATTCGCAGAACCTGATAGAACTCATGAGTAATAGAAAAGATTTTAAGTTCTTGTTCTTCCTTAATACTTTTCAATTTTGTCTAATACTGTATATCAAATATGTCGAAAATGCATGTGCCACACATTTCTGCAATGTCAAAATTACATCACATTTGCCCACATTGTAATATTGGTGTGCACATTTTCTTTAGTTGGTGTTATATAGACACTGCTCTCCGAGGTACATTGTATTCAATTTTTGTCATGTGAACTACTGATACAGTAGAGGTAATCCATGGTAGAATGGTAACAAGTTCATACTACAGCAAGGGAAAAGACCATAGAATTTGAGAACATGATTTACCTGCTGTTTCCTTTTCCTCTCTAGTTTGGCCTGATTCAAGTCAAAGGAATATAGGAGTGTTACAAACACCAAGTGACAACAAGAAGTACGTTATTTAGGTAATTGAAGATGAGCCAAGAACATTATCTGAGATTGACAGAATTTTGTATCTGAAAATATACATTGGTAAATATTCCCATAATTACCAGAGTGTTTTAGGTGTGCATTCTCTTCTTTCAACTGTTTTAGTTCTGCTTCAAGTTTGAGAGTGTAAGCCTGCCAAAACAACGTTGATGTTGTAAATTGAGAATTGTCAAAGATAAAATTATAAGCTTTATCTGTTCCTGAAATCATCAAAATCAAATCCAATATACTGCAAAATTATAATGAAGTCTTGAACCTGAACACTATAAGATAATGGAATACCTGTTTCCTAGCTCTAGATCGTGCAGCAGACTCTCGATTCTTGATCATCCTTCATTGTCACCTCTCCACCACCATCTCTACCGGACCATTGGTGATTCGCTTCCGCCCTCCTTTCACCCCATTGACATCCAAACCATACTGATTACTATTATCCACCTGGTTTATGCACAATCTATCTGAGGACACTGGACTTACCGGGGATCCCATTCCCAATCACTGCACTTGCCCAAATCCTCCAGCAGTGCTTTTTCCCATTCTTCCACCATAGACTGTCAATGGTTGTGGGGTGTTCCTGACACCCCTTTTCACACCTCCAGGGTAACCTGGTGGTTCTCCAACACCACTTTGCGCAAGAGCTTGGTATGTTTCAACATTAGCATCACTGGCATTATTACCATCATTGCCACCCCATAGCTCCATTACTGTCAGGGCGATAAATTAGACTCCTCCACACAACCTCTGTTTGGATACATTCCATATCGCTGCTGTTAAGGCTGCACTGGGGGTGGGGGGTGATTCTGTTCTCGTACAACTCCAGGATTAACCAAGAAATCTTCCAGTATCATCTCCCCAAATGTCGGCCGTCTCCGAGTAGTACCGGGATTCTGAACACGAGTTTCATTAATATGTTGCTGCTGATCTTTGTGAATATCAGACCACACATCCACCGTTTTCTGACACGGGCTTGCAAATACTAAGAAAACCTTAGCCGTTGCAGCATTACTTTCATGCAAGATATTCTGTTTTGCATTAACATTGTTACCAGTGGCTGTGGCAGTTGTTGCTTGGATGTTTGTAGCTTGATTTTCTTCAGCAGTCCATATGTTATTGAAAAACTCATCCATGTTCATTGAGCCAAAGTTTCTGCCCTTCTCACTAAGACTCTTTTGAAACTCATCTGGAGTAAGCGAGTATATGGATGACTGTCGGCCTATTGATGAAGGTTTTTGGACCTTGGGATGTTGGGTCGGTTGCAATATTGACTCAACCTCTCCTTGAGAAATAATATCAGAGTCCTCTACGACCATCTTGAGATTTCGGTATCAGATTCTTCTTCAGGTTACGCTTGCTAGTAGCTTGGTTAAGATGCTGCTGCTGCACCATATGAGTAGCTGCAGTTGCAAAGGTAAGGGAAATCTTTAAAACCGTAATTTGATCATCAATTTTCCAATGTGATACTGCATTCTTACTGCGGCAAGCGGAGTGAGCCATTTCAACCGAACAATTGCTTTTCAAAACATGTCCATAATCTAATGCTAAGAAACTACATAGAATACTAAAGATCCCTGCCTGTTTATATGGCTATACGCTGGGCATAACTTGTCACGATCAAACGGAAATGTTTCAAAATTTGTTTGATACTAGGAACTATGATGCAATGTAGATGTCAGTATACATTGGCAATGATGTGGATTACACTCTTCGAAATATACTCGACACCTGCACGAGCACATAACTCGTCATGCCCAGTGGGACACTGGAGTTCCTGATTGAGTTTGAGGTGAAGTTTGGTCTGGAGAGTTATTATTTGCACTAATTATCATTATCTTTGGCAAGTCACATGTATGGTCTGGTCTCTGACTCCGTCTCCTAGGTCTCCAGTGATATGGGCATTTATATCATCTCGAGCTTTGATGTCCCGAGGAGTGGTATATACTAAACTGGGTCAAATGTCCTCGGGTATCTCGAGGACTATAAAATGACTTACGGTAACATGGTGATGGAGTCCTCGGGATGTGTCCTTGGGATTTCATGATTGTTGTGTTCTTAGACATTTTCCTTAGCCAATCTCAAAAGGTTTCCTTAGACATGGATTGATTCAACATTCTAGGAATTCTAAGTCTATTCAAATACCTCAAAGTTAAGACTCCTATGTCAAGGAGGAGTCTATATCGCTGAGTGTCATAGCCAAACTATGACTAGATCTACAGTTGCAGTGCAATACCTATCTCAAGTAGAATTCCTAAGGATAAGGACACACAGCAAATTAAGTTCAACCAGGAATGTGCTACCTACCTCTATAAATACAAGACTCCAATTCATTATTCAAGTACATTTTTACATACAATTTCAGCACCCCAACTTTTTCATATTCTCTCTCTGACTTAAACATCGAAGGGGCGATGAGGACGCACTTCGACGCCTTTGTTTCAGATATTGGAAGATCACGTTCGTGCTCATTCTCAATCGTCAAGCTCGAAATCTGATAGGTGCGATTTTTGGTAGCATCATTGGAGCCGTCTATGGGAACTACTACCAAAAGTCATGGTAAATACACTTTCGGGTATTCCTCTAGCAAGCTCATCCATTCCAAACCAACCTTCTGTCACGGAGCATAGAATCCATCATGAAGAGTCATCAGCAATACCAGATCCTCAACCAGCAGTGGTTACCACTGGAGCATTCGAAGAACTCAGCCAGCAAGTTGCAATGCTGACTCAGCTACTAAGTCAAAGAAATACTCATCAGCACAAGCACCTACCCCGGCTCAACTAGGGGGTTTCATTGCTGATGCTCGAGCTCGAGATACCTATGATGTCCATGAAAATGGTGGATCTGGGGCCTCGGGCATACCTCCAATAGCCTCGGCCTCGAGATTGGTTACCATGGACTCAGGCGAACTCGCTCGAATCATACAAGTTGCGATTACGGCTGGACTATTGCCGAATACCTAAGGAACGACAGGATTACCCCTAATACACCGTTCACGCCAGAGGTTCTTTCTTATCCGCTCCAGGACGGGTTCAAATTTCCCCGCATAAAAGAGTACAACTGGACCACTGACCCATCAACCACCTTAATGTGTACACAGACGTTATGAACCTAGAGGTTGCACCAAACCCAATAATGTGCAAGACTCCTCAAACTTTGACCAATGCCGCCAGGGATTGGTTCGCCACTTTGGAGCCTAATTCTATAACATCATTCTCAGATCTTGCTAATAGGTTCTCCACTTTCTTCACAAGTAGTAAGCGCATGAGGAAGATCGCAACCACCCTTATACAATTCTGCTAGGGGCCGAAAGAGACTTTGCGTAACTTCAAAACGAGATTCAACAAAGAAAGGTTAGAGATACTAGACCTTCACATTACAATGATTGTTTCGGCTCTAACATATGCAGTAAGGTGTGAAGCTTTAATGATGTCTTTATCTAAGACACCATCGAAGTCCGTGACTGAGCTCCTCAACCGAGAAGAAAAATATATCAACATGGATGAGGCAATGAAAGCTAGCCTGAGCTTTGAGAAGCTGCAACTTAAGAGGCCACACGAGCCAAACTTGTGACAAAATTATGCTCGAGGCAAGTAGAAGCAGGAAGTACCACCTAGGCCGTTCACACGTCTAAATACTTCTAGGACCAACATACTGATGGAGATCACGAATATAAAGGAGCTTAAATGGCCTCCTAGGTTGCGATCTTTCTCGAATACCAGGGATAAGAGTAAATATTGTGACTACCGTAGGGATCATGGGCATACAACGGAGGAGTGCATAACATTACATCGGGAAATTGAGGCACTGATTAAAAGAGGGTTCTTGAAGACATATATCGGTACGATAAATGTCCAGGAATGATCACAACAAAGGGCAGACCCTAGAGTTAGGAGGAGGTAACAAACCCATGGCTGGTATAATCAACATCATAGTTGGGGGATAGTATCGGGAAAATATTCGAACAGTGGACATAAGCAATATGCTCGACAATACACTTCGGCTCAAGAGACCACTCTCTACAACTCGGAAGACATTACCTTTAGATCAAAGGACTTGGAAGGCATATTATCTCTCATGACGATGCCTTAGTCATATCTGCTATAATAGCTAACTTTGAAGCCAAAAAGGATATTAGTAAACTATGGGAGTGCATCCAATGTATTGTTCCATGATGCCTTCACGAAGATGAGTATTTCACTAACCAGTTAGAGATGGTCAAGACCCTACTTCAAGGATTTGGGGGGTGGAAAAATAATCCTAGGAATTGTTGACCTTCCTCTAACTTTGGGCTCGGGCCAGAATCAGGAAACAGAAATTACACCATTCCATGTGGTCTGGGCATCCATGGCATACAATGTCATTCTCGGAAGACCACTACTCAACAAGATCAGAGCCATAGTATCTACTTTCCACCTTGCTATGAAAATTTCAACCAGTCATGGAGTAGGAATTGTGCGTGGGTATCAGATAGCAGCAAGAAAGTGTTATGTTACTAGTGTCCAAGGTTTGAGTGTTGATGTCATGTAATTATCCACTAATGAGCTCGAGCTCGAGCACCAGGAAAGACTTGCTCCAGTAGAAGATTTGGTAGAGGTCGAGCACGACAAAAAAGTAACCATAGGCCAGGATCTTGATGCCGTTCTCAAGGATGAACTCATCAGATGCTCGTCCCACAACATTGATGTATTCGTATGGAAGGTTGAAGACATGCTTGGAATTGACCCCGATGTAGTGGGCCATAGGCTCAAGGTATCAAAGTTATTAGGTTTCATGATTACGCATAGGGGGATTGAGGCAAATTCAGACAAGATACAAGCCTTAATATCCATGGATTCGCTTAGGAACAAGAAAGAGGTGCAAAAGCTAACAGGTCAAGTAGCCGCTTTAAATAGGTTCATGTCTAGAGCAGCAGACA